CTACTCTCCAGCCACTTGTGGGCTTGCCCCCATCTGACTTCATCAAATCTGCAAGTTCTGTCTACTCTGAAGTAACAATAGCCTTTCTCCGCCCCCCAGCCTTGCCCTGCTTTGCCCACTTCAGACTCAGAAAGCCCAGTGATGGCTCTTCCAAAGTATGGCCCCAAGCAGGTGCTTTCACCATCCCCCCCGAAATCAGTGCTGGGAATGGGAAGCTCTCAGTAGCCGCTAAATCAGCTGGACATCAGGGTCTCTAGTAGGGCCTGGACCTTGCAGAACATTGAGCATTTTCCTGGAGCAGGACTTGAACAAATTCAGAGTATGACCTTGTGATTCAGTTGCTCACTGAAAACTAACAACATCGGCCACTTGCCCTGGCAGAAGGCTTTAAGTGCTCCTGGGAAAGAGCCTCCGTGAAGGGGTGGCACATACTCCACTCCACCCCACTCCACTTGGGTCACCAGGCCTTCTCCTCATTCCCAAACAGCAGCTCCCATAGTGTGCAGGCACTTCTTTCCAGTTTATTTTCTGGGGTGAAAATGTTTTGTAGCCCTGACCTCATCTTGCTTGCCTTGCTCACCACTTCTTCATACATTGCTTGTTAGTGGGTGATGATCTTACATGCCGCTGTGGGAATGGATGCAGCAAGCACAAACACTTCTCCCTCGGAAGTGGTAGCAAAGTCCTGTCTTCAAACCAGGTTTTGGCCTCTAAGGAGAAGAAAAAGTTTCTGAGCCCCAGCTTCTTTCAGTCAGCAAAAAAGCTTGGGATTAATGTGTTGCAGAGATTAAAAGTCACTGAAGGAAATTTTAACCCCGGCCTACAGCACTGGGAACACCAGACCGTGCAGAGCATGCAGCATCTGTGTGTCCCTCCTGGACAGGAAGAAAACACTGAAGTGCTTCCAACAGGTCCTTCTGAAAGAACCTCCTTAAAAAGATATTTTAGTAAATATGTGATAGACCTTTCCCAAACCTAATTATAAGTGATTTCTATAAATAAGACAAGGACAGTAAAGGCTTCTAATAGCAAATCGTAGTCAAGCGATGAGTGTGGCAGTATACTCATCAAACTCTAACAAAAAAATGGTTTTTTCCTGATGTTTATTTAAGTAAATGTTCGAGATACTAACAGCTTAATAGTACGCTTACGGGTCATCCCTGGAATTCACTTAGGGTAGCCAGACAGGATTTCCAGTGGCGTGTAGATCCCAGACAAAATACATTTCCTCTACTCATGCCCTAATTGGAAGGAAATTGCTTAATTCCTTAACACCCAGTGATATCCTAGGGTAAAAATGAACTTTGCTTGGTAGCAGTCTTCTTTTTCATTAATTCATTTAGCAAACACTTACCAAGTACTGCCGTGAGCCAGCCACTCTGCTGGGCACACATGCCCATGGGGATGGGAGCCACTCCCCCTTGGCCTCCTTACTTATATGCCTTTGCCTGTTGCGAATTAGTCAGCACTCCTTTCTGCCTGTTATATGCCCTTATTGACTTTAATGTCCATCTCTTTAACTTGATTATATTCGCAAGGACAGTGAAGAATTGTCAAAATCAAGATCTGTTTTTTTCATTTGTAGAAAGTCAGTCAAGTATGCATTGCATGAAAGTATTTTTAATAAATCAAACCTACTTAGTTCTCATAATTTTTTTTTATCTTCTACAGATAAATTTTCTTCTAATGCTTGTTCTAGTGGGGAGTGAAATTCTTCCCTACTGCAGAGAGTGGGGAGGATAACAGGAAATGTAGGTCACATCTTATTTTTTTTTTTCAAATGTCTAATTTCACCACTTTTCAGCAAGGATGATCTGTGATTTGATGGCATATCTACAATGCTTCACATTCCAAGAAAATTAGACCATCTCAATCTCCTGTTTAAAATTCCTCACTGGCTTCACATCCCTTCCAAGATCAAGTCTAAAATCCCCAGCAAGACCCTGGATAATCATAGTCTGTAAACTTTACAGCCATTTCACCTGCCTTCCCTTCATGCCTGTGAGCCTCTAGCCTCACCACGGGATGCAGCGCAGGCCTGTGCCCCCTCCCCTCCTGCAGCCCTATCTCAGTTCCCTTCTTTTATGAAGCCTTTCCTGACCCTCAGGCCAGCCTAGTAGGCTGCTCTTCTGCACCTCTGAATTGAGAAGGTCTTTTACCTTTCTCAATTTAGCATATATTTTATGGTATTTTTCAGTAGACTATTTTTCAGAGTAGTTTTAGGTTTACAGCAAAATTAATGAGGAGGTGCAGAGGTTTCCAATATTCTCCTTGCTCCCACACATGCATAGCCTCTTGGGTTATCAACTTCCCCCACCAGAACTGTACGTTTTTTACAACAGATAAACCTACTTTGACACATCCCAGTTGCCCAAAGGCCATAGTTTACATTAAGGTTTCCTGTAAAAAGTGTCATCCTTTCTTGGAGTTTAGACAAATGTATGATATGTATCCATCATTATACTATCATACAGAATAGTTTCACTGACCCAAAAATCCTCTGTATTCCACCTATTCATTCCTCCCACTCCTTTAACACCTGGCAGACATCGATCTTTTTACTGTTTGTATAGTTTTGCTTTTTCCAGGATGTCATATCATTGGAATTACAGCTTTTTAAAACTGGCTTCTTTAACTTAGCAATATGCATTTAATTTTCCTTCATGTCTTTGGATGGCTAGATAGCTCATTTCTAGTGCGGAAAAATATTCTGTTGCCTGGATGGACCACAGTTTGTTTATTCATTCACCTACTGAAGGACATCACGGTTGCCTCCAAGTTTTGTCAGTTATGAAGAAAACTGCCATAACTTCCTGTATACAGGTGTTTGTGTGGACCTAAGTTTTCAACTCATTTGGGTAAATACCAAAGAGCATGATTGCTAGATCATATGGTAAGACTACATTTAGTTTTATAAGAAACCACCACAATACCTTCCAGAGTAGCTACCTCTGTTGTTACCAGATGGGGTAGGGGGTAGGGGACCTTGGCCCTGAGTATGTCTGCCTAGGGCCAGCTGGTAGTGTGTGGGTTCCTGACTTCATAAAAGAAGGATTTCACAGCACAAGTTTAGGTAATTTTGAGAGTATGTTTATTAAAGCTGGGGAAAGTGAAACAAGGAAGGGCTCAGTATAGAAGAAGCAACAGGAGAACCCAGGCTGGGCTGCCTTAGTTCACTAAGAAGTCATTGGAGACAGGTTCAGGGGATTAGCCTAGGACAAGCTGCTGCCGTCTGATTGCAAGTCTTGGGGTCCCTTAGAGGTTAGGAGATGCGTGCCTGGAGGGGAAGAAGTGAGGGAAGAAGACGGGGAAGGGAATGGCATGGGCTACTCCGCAGAAGGAGAGCTCACTGGTCCTTTGTCTTGAGGCTATCATCTCTTTCTTGCAGGCTGGAATTTTAGGGGAGGTCTCAAGGGATGCTCTTAGCAGAATATTCATCAGTTTTCCAGGTGCGCTCTTTCAGGGCCATGGTCTCCTCTGACTGGTCAGCGCCAGGTCAGGGGGTCATTAGTCATTGCAGTTGGTTCTGGTGGTGCCCACCGGCTTTTGCTGTTTTTCTGGGTCTGGAGCTGAAGTACAGCTGAGGCCTAGAGGTTATCTCCAGGGAGGTGACTTTCTGTATCTGACTATAATTTGCTCAGCCATTTTGTTCAGCTATCTGTCTCAGTTTCCCTATTCCACTTGTCCTGGCTTACTGGGCTGTCTCAGTACCTTTTTGCATTCCCACCAGTGATGAGTGAGAGTTCCTGTTGTTCCACATCCTCACCAACATTTGGTGTGTCAGTGTTCTGGATTTGGGCCATTCTAATAGATGGGTAGTGATATTTAGTTGTTTCAATTTGCATTTCCCTCATGCATGATGTTAGACATTTTTTCATATGCTTATTTGCCATTGGTATTTTTTTTTTGGTGAGGTGTCTGTTAAGGTCTTTGGCCCATTAATCAGGTTTTTTTGTTTGGTTTATTTTAGGGTAAGGGAAGGATAAAGAGAGGAAGAGAAACATTGATGTGAGAGACAGATATTGATTGGTTGCCTCTCTCACCCACCCCAACCGAGGACCAAACCTGCAACCTAGGTATGTGCCCTGACCAGGAATCAAACGAGCCGCCTCTCGGTTTGTAGGAAGTCACACAACCAACTGAGCCACACCGGTCAGGGCTGTATTCTTAGTCCTGACTTTTAAAAGTTTATTGTAGCCCTGGCCAATGTGGCTCGGTTGGGTTATTGTCTCATAGACTGGAAGGTCATCCATCGGTTTGCAGGTTTGGTCCCTGGTTAGGCCACATACAAGAGGCAGCCCATCAGTGTTTCTCTCTCATATTGGTGTTCCTCTCCCTCTCTCTCCCTCCCTTACCCTCTCTGAAGTCAGTGGGTAAGTCCTCAGGTAAGGATAAAAAAAAGGGTGTTTCTGAAAGACCTTCTAGAAGGGTGTTTCTGTATCTCTAGTACTCATACTCTTTGACACAGTAATTCTACTTCTAGGAATCTATCCTCAGGAAAGGGTCACAATCCAGAAAAGGCCTCCAGTAGAAAGATACCCATTGCCTAATTGCAAAAGGAATTAGGAAGAGCCATAAATGTCCTATGTGGAGTGTGGTTGAAGGAACTATGACACATCACCTAAATAGAATATCAGTAAGATAGATGAGACAATTTTTACAGCAGCTATGTAGCAGCCTGAAAGGTAGAATGGTTTGCATGTAATGATTTCAGTATGTGTACATCTGGAAAAAGACTAGAAAAGTCAGGCAAAAGTGAAAACAACTTGGTTAGGTAGTAATGTTGGCAGGTTTTAAAACTTACTTTTTATTGTTATAATTGTGATTGTCCAATAACCGGAAGTTATAAAAATCTTAGGAACATTTATATCAACTCACAAGAGATAAAAAAAAAAATCTGAGGCACTTGGGTATCATCTGTGTCCTGAGGAGCCAAGAGAAGTAGGGGCGGGGAGGCAGACCCCTCCCCTGAGACTGGCTTTGCTTTCACCCGGGCCTAGGCACTGTGGTCGGTGTGGACGAGAGCACTGCTTTCTCGTGGCCTACATGTGACCTGTGTGGCAACGAGAGGTTGGAGCAGAGTCCAGAAGACAGGTAAGGGGGCTGTGACTGACCTGAAAGACCAAGTCACTGGGGCAGCAGCAGCCCAGTCCCAGGACCCCTACTGCCTTCCCGCTTCAGGCCGGCTGCCACTGCACCAAGGGCCCCGTGTGAGCTCCGAGAGTAAAACCAAGTGTGCTGAGCTGCAAGGAAGAGGCTGTGGTGCGCATCACCACCTAGCAGTATCTTTTCTTCATAACAGGCATTTTGGCTGTTCCTTGCAGCTCCTATCTTGAAAGAGAAAAGAGCCAGGTTTTGTCCTCAGCTTATTTATTATTAGGAGAAAAGAGAAAAAAATCAGGGTAAACATCAATAAATAAAACTAAGTTGGTAATTGTACAAGCTTGTCCTTTGCAAGGGCACAGATTTTTCCAGAGACCAATGAACGGCTACATAAACAGACATTCCTTCCCTGCAAGTGCTACTGTACCCACTCCCGACAGGCCTGGGGTCTGAGGCTGGGTATAGACACAGTTTTCTGAATCAATTCTCTGGCCTCTCAAGTTGACTGTGTCACATGATGGATAGAAAGGGGCTCATTACTTTTCTGCCTCTTAAGAAACAAAGGGCAGATGTCTCCTTGACACTTCCTGGGTTGATAGCATTGTGTATAAACAGCTCATCCTTGGATTGTAGTTAAGAGACAAGAAGAGTGTGAATCATAGGTTTACTTGGTAGCAATAAGGAGCATAGATACTAATGACTAAAATCAGGTTTTCCCATTCAGGCGGATAGGAAGCCCTGACTTCCCTTGGCCTGGCAGAGGGCTCCCCTTTGCTTCCTGGGAGGTTTGATGTCATCCTCTGTGCTCAGCTTTAATGAGGCGTCCTTGCCTAAGTGTCCCTTCCCCAGTTACATGCTCACCAAGTTATTAATCAGAAGCTGGGTAAGTTGATGCTTATCCCTGAGAACAGGCCGAGCCCCGGGCTGCTTCTGGCCTATTTCAGGAACTTGGCTTTTGAAAATAAATCCCCTTTTCCATCTCAGCAATCATTCATGTTTAGAAAAATGCCTGTCTACTGCTAGACTTTTCTAATTTGTGCATTTTTGAGTGTTGTCTTCCCTGTGTGTTTCCAAACGACAGAGGCGCCTTTTCCTGTGCAGACTGCTGCCGGGTGGTCTCCTGTCCTCTTCTGAGAAGGCACCTCCAGGTCTTCCTGGACTGTCCCTCACGACCCCAGTGCACAGTGAGGGTCAAGGTAAGAGCTGGTCCAGGAGCCCATGTGCGTCCCATGTCCACCTCGTGGAGCCACTTTGACTCACTGGCTGGGATACAGTTGTATCTGTTGCTCTTTTGCTGGGAAAAGGGTGAAGGACTCATCCTCAGGAACACAATCTTTTTATGTCTGTGACTTTAAAAGTCACATTTAAATTAAGGCTTTGAGATCAAAGCTATTAAAGAGAAGGCAGGTGGTTCATATGTAATATATTAATTTTCAGGACATGAGTGTTTTTAGCATGAGCACTTACTACAGCAGTGGGATTTTTTAACCCAGCCCCGTTTCTGTTATTGCAGCTGATGCAGAGCAGTATCTCTTCACTCCTGAGGTTTGCCACCTGTGAGGATGGGGTAAGTCCAGGGACGCCCAGCCCAGATGTATGTCCTTGTGCTCTTAAGCCCTAAGTTACAAGATCATCCCCCAGATGAAGACCCCTGTCCCATGTACTTCCAGTTACAACTGTCCCACAATATAATTATGTACATGTTAATTGTTTAGACGGTACTGAGACATGGGTCTTACTGCTGTTATTCGCTGACAAACACCCATGTCTGCTAATGGGATAGTTCCTTTTTGGATATGAGGTTATTTCCTGACCAGTCTTATAGTAGATACATGAATCTCTCTCCCTGTCTTTGGATTATGGTAAGATATTATTGAGATTTCAAGTTCTACTGCCATGGTTTCATATTAACGTAACAGAATTATCTTAGAGACACACACTTTTTTTTTTTAATTTGGGTATTCTAAAGTCTGAGTAACTGAAAACTTACTCATTATTCCTCAGACCCAGTTTGCTTACCTTGAGAGTTACTACAGTATAACTTACTGAAGTGTACAGGGCACTCAGTACTGTGCAACTCAGTATAAGTGTGCAGGGCCCCCGGACGGTGCAACTCAGTATAAGTGTGCAGGGCCCTCGGACGGTGCAACTCAGTATAAGTGTGCAGGGCCCCCAGACGGTGCAACTCAGGCAAGTGTGCAGGGCCCCCGGACGGTGCAACTCAGTAAAGTGGTGTGCTCCGCCAAGAAAACTACCTCGTGAATATAACCACAGGCCAAAGATAGTTTTCTTCATGAAAGTCAGCCCTCATGAAAGAGAGCAGTCCATCCTTGAGTAGCCACCTCTGTCTTGTCAAAGCCATTTGAAAGCACCACAGGTGGCCCGTGGAATTCCTGAACCCCAGAGAAACACACTGGGGTGGTGCCAGGGCACAGCCCCCAGGCCACAAAAGGTATCTGTGATCCTGTTGGGGTCCACATCTAGGTAGCACATGTGGGCTGGCTCATGAGGTTATGGTGAAAGGGGAGACTAATCATCTACAGAATTTCTAATGAGTTTCCATAGCCAAATTCCAGCTCTGCCAGCCAGAAATTGAGCCTGGTTTGATCCATTCTGTGGAGGCTGCCCTCCCCAACACCTTGCCATCCATTGTCCCAGCCCCTCCTGAAGTGCAGGAGGGGCTGGCAGCTCCAGGGTGTGGACCAGCCTTTCACGTTTTTTCATCTAAACCATTGACTGTCAGAGTTTGGATTAAATTAGAATGTGGCTAAATCCATGAACAGAATCTTTAAGAATCACTGGTTTGACTGTAGTTCCCAGCTCTGACTTCAGGGTAGAATCACCTGTGGAACTACAGCATTTCTGGCTCCCTCCTTGGGCATGTGTCTTTAAACCAACTTGGTGACACCCCCTTTCCCCTAAGCCCTCATGCCAGTGCCAACAGAAATTGGTGTTTAGTCCAGGCTGCAGGAGGGTTTATAAGCAAGTATTCCCTGATTGTTTAAAAGGAAAATGTAAGATTACAATGGACCAGGAAGTGTGCTCATTACTTTTCTTACATGTTGCCTTGTTTAATCTCCCCAACATCCCAGTGGGGAAGAATCCACATTTTACTGTGAAGAAAACAAAGAATGCAGGGCTTATAGCCTGTTTTTGTTGGATGCGGAGACATCCCACAGAGAGAAAGTCATTTTCATCCCCACAAGTGACCACCCAGCGGAGTTAGTATTCAGTCCAGATTGAGGGGTGGGGTGGTGGTAACAGGAACCCTTGTGTGTGTGTTTCTGCTCTTATTGAAATTAGTGTGTTTAACAGGTGAAAAGTTAGCAGTGTCTGTTGCCCGATTCCTTGTTGTCCCATCTCTCAGTCCCAGGGTGCGGGTGGGGGGGGGGGGCGGGGAGAGGAAAAAAGAAGGGCGCAGTGCTGGGTAAGTCTGATGGATTGGAGGTTTCCAAGATGGGGCTTTCAACAGGTGCTAAAGATAACAGAACTGGGTTATCAGGGAAATATATCTGTGGATAATGTTAGGGGAAGTGCTGGTAAAACTGCTTTAGGAGAACTCATAGCAAAATGAACCAAAACCCACAACCTAAACAAACTAAAACCAACAACACTTGATGATGCACACTCACCTGCAATTCCACACAGCAGAAAGGCACAGCGTTTGCCCTGCAGTTCTGTCGGGGGGCCTTGGCAGAGCCCTACTTCCCGCTCAGTGCCTGCAGCCACCCCACCACCACCGTGAGTGGCCTGGTGCCTCTTCTAGGAAGCCTCCAGTGATGGACAGCCTTTGACCACTCTACCTTAGGGACCCAAAGACCAGGAGGAAGCCCTGTAGAAACCCTCTCTTTATTACTTGATTTCATTCCGATTAAGGCTGGCTTGTACCTCCCACACATTAAACTTCTCAACTGAAATGCTCTTTTGTAAAATACTATAAAAGCTCAAAAGAGCACATGTGTCAACATGTGTGTGCATGTGCGTGGGGCACTGAGGGGCACTGAGTTATGATGGTCTCAGGTGCCAACTTTGCAGGTACTCTGTTATCAGAACTGACACCAGAAAAATAAAGGTAAATTCCAAGCATGAGGTACATTTAAGTCATCTCCCTACCTCTACCCCCAGCTTTACTCACAGTGGATAATCAGAGCTTTACATCTGATCTGGAAAGGAGCTGCTGGAAGATGAGTATAAAATGGACTCATGTGTGCCCTGGCCAGTGTGGCCCAGTTGATTGGAGTGTCATTCCATAAACCAAACAGTGACGGGTTTAATTCCCAGTCAGGGTGCATAAGAGAGACAACTGATGGATGTTTCTCTCTCACATCAATATTTCTCTCCCTTTCTCTCTCCCTCTCTCTAAAATCAATAAACATGTCCTTGGGTGAGGATTTTAAAAAAGGACATATGTATAGACATCAGCCATAAGTTTTCCAGTCTGGATTCTATCCATTTTTTGAGTGAGAATGCACATTTGCCAAAATCTGAAGAATTACATTAGGACTTTCCATGAGAACCATAACTCCATTGCCTTGAGTAAGGCACTGCTTCTGGTTAGGATACATGAGTGTTAAGTTTTATGCCTTCATTTTAGTGTGGCCCCACTACAGAAATGAAAACAATGGCATTGGCTATTGTACATGTCAGTTCTCAATGGTAACATGACAGTGATATGAAATTTGGAGTTTGTTCCCTTAGCTTTAGGAAAAGCTAAAGGAAAATATATTGTGCCTTTTAAAAAGAGAAGCACATTTTACACAGAGGCACATACACATTTCTATGAGAATACACATGAGTTTGTTGATGGGTGTGATTGTTTTAATTTCCACCAAATATAAAAATTATAATTTAATCCCCATTTATAAATGATAGTTGTCATTATTGAAGACTGTAGCCTCCAAACCTGACATTTTTTTAAATGACTTTTGCTGACTTTTTTCAAGTCAGAATTCCATTCTTTTACCCCAAGTAAACATGCAAGGCTAACTAAAATGGTAAGAGACAAGAAAGAAGTAGCTAGCTGTCCTTTCTCGATCTTCCCACCCCTGCAGGGTGACCTTTCACTATGCGTCACCTTGTACTCTCTCCTCAGACTGGCAGCCTTGCAACTCTTGTTCACTGGCATTTTTTCAGTGATAGCCCCATCGTGGGCTCATAGTAAACCTCAGTGAATGATGAAGGGAGTGGGCCATAATATTGACATCTATGTCCCATGTGATCTCAAGCCATAGGAAGGCCTTACCCACCACTGTCAAGTCAGATACTTTTAGTTCCATCATTTCACCTGTCTTGACCAGCAACTCTAACTCCCCCATCACTCTATTAAACCACTCTGTTGACCTTACACTAGCTTTTTATACTAAGCAACCAAAACATTTTTTACTGATTTTTTTTTTTTTAGAGAGAAACATCAATTGGTTGTTCCACTTACTTATGCATTTATTGGTTGATTCTTGTATGTGCCCTGACCAGGGATTGAACCCGCAACCTTGGCATATCAGGACAATGCTCTGACTAAGCAACCAAAACTCTTTACAAATCACATTAAATAGGTTAGGTATTTCACACCATGCATGCCTGTCTTATAGACAGGAAAATGAAAGTATCCCAGTGAGTTGACATTAGAGCAGTGTTCACGTCCCCGACTGATGCTGATATTTATTGCTTCCAAACAAACTATCTCAAAGGTTGGTCGCTTCCACACTTACTCTGTACACATACCTTCAGTTTAGACAGCGTTCTACCAGGACAGCTCATCTCTGTTCCAGTGGCAACAGGGGGTGCCCCAGAGGCTGCCCTGGAGTTACAGAAGGCCTTCAGTCCCCAACTAGCTGTTGTGCTCAGACCTTCCCAGGCTCTGACTAGACACCCATGCAGCCTGGACCCCCTCACAGCACGTGTCTGGGTCCCAAGAGAGGCAGGCAGAAGCTGGGCACCTCCCCTGACTGAGCTTGGGATGTATGTAACTCATTGTCCTGTCCACTGCACTCGGTTCATGAGAAGCCAGTCACTGAGCCCAGCCTAGACCCAATATGCACATATATGTTCAATACATATTGAACAGAGCTATTGTAGAGATTCATCAAGGATCTTGCTTTGAGAAGTGAGATATACTCCTGGTATCACTCTGCAGATGGTAACAGAGGAGTTTCTGAAAGAACACATCATCTTTTAGGGCTTCAGTCTCCAGTAAAGCCAGAGATGTCATTTTTTCCAATGCATTTTAGCCTCTCTTTATTTTCATCCTGACCTCCATCCCAGAAAGAAAATGTTCTAAAGTTTGATCTAGGGAGACTAATGAGGGCACGCTGCACCCTCCTTGCCTAGCCATCTGGTACCGCTGCTGCTCAGTGCCCTCTGTCCATTTAGAGATAAAACTTGCCTAAGATAGTCATCAAACAGAATGTGAATAAAAAGCTTCCTGCATACAACTTAGAGGTGTTTAGCTTAGTATAACTCTAGAAGAAACAGAATCCTATTAAGGAGGGAAGTTTGGGGCAAAGAACTAAAAAATCCTTTGCCCAGAAGTGTTGCTCGATTGAGGAAGTATCCCAAAGGAAGTGGGGGATAGTTGCAAGCACGATGCGTGCCCAGCCCCCACATTCGCAGCTAATAAACAGGGCCGGTCCTTTTGTAGGTCTTCCCCTAACCTTCAGCTCCCCTCCTGGGACAGCCAGCTGAGAGATGATTATTGTTACATTCCCGAACAATCATCAGTACTTTAAATGTTCTTGTGTAAAACCAGGATTCAGTTATCAGAAAAAATTAGTTCCTTCACTTGCCATATAAATGGGCTTTTTATCACAACCCTTCATTTTTTTTTCCCCTCCTTACGAAATGTTGTCCCAACCATTTGAAGAGTGGAAAGTCATGGACTGGGAAAGGGCTGTCTCCTCTGCTCTTTGGTGTTCTGTGGTGTTGGGAACAGAACGTGCAGGACTAACTCTGTTTGCTTTAACCAGCATGCCTTTTCTCACTGCAGAGTTATGAAGTGAAGAGTGTCATTGGAAAGGAGGTGGGGCTGTTAAATTGTTTTGTCCGGTCCGTAACCACCCACCCAACCAGCTGCGTTGGATTGGAGGAAATTGAGCTTCTGAGTGCAGAAAGAGCCTCCTAAGATCACCATGGGTTGTCATAGGAATCTGAAGATTTGCAGTGTGGCTGCAGGGGTGCTGGTGGTGGTTTTTGGTAGTTATTAACTATGGGAAAAGTGAGTATATTTTATGATCTTGAAATGGAACTTAAGATTTTTCTGGGGCACATGTTAATAAAATGTTTTTGTAAACTATAAATCAAAATATTTTTTTCTACAGTTATATATTACTACCTTTCTGCAAACTCAGGAATGTAACTGTTAATAAAGCTTACATAAGCTAGAGGTCTTCATTTTGTTATTTCTCTTAGGCAATAATATTAATGTAGCAAGAAAAAATTTTTGTTCAGTTGCAATTTTAAAGTGTTTAAATTTTACCACAATTCAGCATGTTTTTCTTACAGTATTTAACATTCCCCCAAAGAATATACTGCAAAGCTTAAACCTTTGTCCTATATTGTTATATTACTGTTCTGCTGCAATAAATGTCCAACCTAAGCATTTTGCACTTTTGTTTTTAAGTATTTTTTTGGTCAGGTATTCTGGGGAACTTTGTCGGAGTTTAAAATGTTACCCATAAAGTGCAAATAAGTTAACCAGTGTCACTATAGGTATACCGAACAGAGACATAATTAGCTCACTCTAGATAGGCCTGTTTAATCATATCAGATACTGTGCAGAGAGCAGCAAGATCACAGACTAAAGAGTGGATTTTAACATTTGTTTTGTTGGCAGAGATTTAAATTAAATGTAAAACCATGAATTAATTAGCTTTGCACACTAAAGATTTTGTTTTCTCCCTTATGATATAATCGTAACAGTTCATAGTTAATTAATTACATAATATAGATGTACTAGCCAAGATCAAGAAAGGGTGCCTAGTACCTACTTTCACTGGGGGAAAGGCGATGGCTTTATCTCCTTGTCCACGTTTAGCTTTGAAACATTACCATTACTGGCAAAAACAGCCGGTTTTATGTAGATGTGTGGCTCTCCTTTTCATCTACATGACTATTTTGTACTCACACGCACTTTGCAAATCTACTTGTAGCTGTCCATGAGACAGGAAAGTGAAAGCAAAGTCCCACGAAAACCAACGATAATTCAAACATGACTTTTAGAATAGCCTGAGCCATCCTATACCGCCTCAGCCCTCAAGCAGCCCACTAAAGTTAGGCAGCTGTTCAGCTGTTCTCCATAGGGTCCCAGATCGGCTGCAGGGCCAGTCGGCCAGCCAGTCCCCTCCCCCAAATCTGGGTACTTTTTTCGGAGGACCATCCACCAGAAATTTGCTAGCTTTACGTGAGTTTGGTCGTGCTTCGCTGATCTTAGGCAAATTAAACAAAACATATGGAGGTAGACTTTGGCATGTTTCAAAAGCAAAGCAGACTCTTTCTTCTAAGAAGCTTGGTTCCCCGTCGGGGGTTACACACCTGGGTCCCGTGCGGACTTCCAGATGCCGAGCCGCACACCCGGTACTGGAATGCGCCCTTCCCCAGCGGGGTCCTAAGGCCCCCAACGTGCAGGAATCCCCGTAAATACAGGAATCAGGGTGGTTTTAAATGCTTCTTTATTCTTACAAATACTGTAAAAATTAATATAAAAAAGTGAGCATACTCAGTCTTTTCCTTTTATCTACAATACAAAGGGCTGTCTTAAAAGTCTTTTTTTTAACAAATGTACCTTAGCTGCATCAATAAGAGTAAGATGTAGAAAAAGCTACCATTATAAAAATAATTTAAGGGAAAATAAACATGTATAGCTCCTCTCGAAGTTCAGTGGTAGCCAAGTCCAGGCTGGAGCTTCCTTTCACTCACACGTCCCAAAGAAACTGCAGCCGGCGCCTTACGGCTCTCCGGGCAGGGCGCGCTTCGCTCCGGGCCCGTCGGGTCTGAGGTATCGGTCGTTGGTGAGTCTCCCCGGGCCACGCGTTACCGGCAGTCAGCGGCCCCGGCGGCCGACAGGAAGGACGAGCTGGGCAGCTGTTTGAAGAACTGCCGGAGTCCGGTCAGGTCCCGTGTGAGTTGTTCCACGCGCTGGTGCAGCTTCTCGTTCTCGGCCGACAGTTCCACTAGCTTCTGCTGCATCTCCTGGTTGCGCCGCTTAGCCTTATCCCGGCTCTTGCGCACCGCGATATTGTTGCGCTCGCGCCGCTGCCGGTACTCTGGACTGCCGCGGTCGGGGCCCCTCTTGCCGGCGCTCTTCTCCCGGGCCTGGCCCGGCGCGGGGCTCGGGCCGGACGCGGGGCTCGGCCCCGGGCTGCCCCGCGGCGGCTCCGGCGACGTGGGTGGTGTTGGTTGCCCCGCGGCCGCCAGGCTCACCACTGTCTGCGCGCACGCGGCCACCTGCGCAGGCAGCAGCGATCCCGGCGCCTCACTGTCGCCCCAGTCGGGCTCTCGCTTCAGTGGTCGCGGGGCTGCGGTGCCCGGAGTTCGTGCGAGGCTGCCAGGCAGCAGCTCCAGGGCGCTCGCTGCGCCCGCCGCGCCCGCCTTGTGGTTGCTGTTGAAGAGGTCGGCGAAGAGCTCGTCGTGGCACAGCTCCAAGGTGGGCACGGCGGCCATGGAGTCGATGTAGGCGCTGAAGTCTATGGCGCTCTCGTCGTCGTACATGGCGGGGGCAGAGGCGCTCGGCTCGGTCAGGCGAGCCGGCTTGCCGGCCCTGCCAAGCTCGTAGAAGGGCGCAGGATCCGCGGGCCAGGGCGCGCCGCGCGCCGGACCGTCTAGGCTGAAGAGGGCGGAGCTCATGGCAGCGTCCGGCTTGGCTGTGTTCTGGCGCAGCTGTCACCTCAGTGGGCCGGCCCCGCCGCCTTTTCTAGCAGGGTTGACGCGGAGGCCCCGCCCCGGCTCCAGAGCCGCGGGGGCGCCCTAGGGCCGCAGGGAAGGGGAGCGATGGGCGGTGGCGGTGTCCTAGGAGCTCCCGCCCGGTCCCGGAGCCTCCCCTCGAACCTTCCTCTGTGACCCTCCTCCTTGCTACACCCCGGAGCTCTCCCAACCCCGCGCGTGAGGGGAGAGGCGTGTGCTTCCTCCCCCGCCCCCGGTCTTGCCGGCCCGAGCCATCCTGCTGGGAATGACCCTCCCTCTGCCCGCCTTCGGGGTCCTCCTCTCCTTCCTGTTTGTGGTGTTGGGAGCCTCTTCGTTCTTCCGAGCCGGGAATGAAATCGAAACCCGGACTTGGCCGTGATGCGCGTGTCCCGGACCGGTTCCCATAGTCAGAGGGAGGGAGGCCTGGGGAGCGCAACCCCGGGTAGGAGGATAGAGCAAGGGGACGTCCTCCAGACAGAGATACCGCTCGGCCTCGCGGTTGGTGCTTCCTGACCGAAGGGATGGCAGGACAGGGCTAAAAGAGAAGGAGTCGCGTCGCAGCGCCCAAGCTGCCGGCCACCCTAAATGCTGTCGGCTGCAGCGCGCGAGGCCAGCCAGGTCCGGCCCGTTCCCGAACCGCGCGAAGCCCAAGAACTGGAGGAACCCGCGTTGCCCGCGCTCCCGCTCACTGTCCGTGCGCGGCCGTTTCTTTCAGATCTACTAAGGCAGTGCCATCTTGTGGCGGTAATGTTTCTTCAGTCCTATTTTTAGTTCCAGTCTCCTTTTTTCTCTCAACATTCCAAAAAGAAGTTCTTTTGAATCTAAAGCACTTGGGTCCCTTAGGAGAAAGATAAGATTTATGCTAGCACATCTGTCGGGGTATTAAGTTGCTAGCTCTTCACGTTGTCAAATGCATGAGAAGACAGTATGTACTGTCATTGCTCGTTAAGTTTCCTGCAATTTGGGGCAGGCATTTCTGCTCAATTCCACTTATTAAATCACTGCCCCTATTCAAACCTGGGCTCCATCTCATACCTCTTCTTGGCCTTGGCTTCTCGAAATTCACCAGACGTTGGATCCAAACACCAAATGCTCCACAAACTGCTGCCAGAGTTTCTGCATTCAATTCCAGAGGTAACTTCTAATGATACTGCACTCTGGCATATTGAATAGGCTTTCTAGGAGAACAAACATACTGCTTTTGAATTCCTCAGAGAGAGTACAGTGTTGATGTTATACTATTAATTGCCCTTTAAGGATAAAAACTAAGATCATGTATAGTGTGGCTTCATGCAAATGGGGGAAAAGGCCTAGGACAAATTTTTTAACTTCTTTAAAAAAATTTTATTTTATTTATTTTTTTAAGGATTTTAAAAATATTTCATTGATTATGCTATTACAGTTGTCCCATTTTTTTCCTCCCCTTTATTCCCCTTCACACCCCACAGCCTACCCCCCGACCCCTGCTTAGTTCATGTCCATGTATTGTACATAAAAGGTCTTTGGCTTCTCCATTTCCTATATTATTTTTAACCTACCCCTGCCTATTTTGTACCTACTATTTATGCTGTTTATTCCCTGTACCTGTTCCCCGTTTCTTCCTCCTCCCCCTCCACTCTGTTTTACTGTTCATAGTTTTTTTATTTTCTCTTTCTTAGAGAAGTCCCTTTAATATTTCATAAAATAAGGGCTTGGTGATGATGAACACCTTTAACTTGACCTTTCTGGGAAGCACTTTATCTGCCCTTCCATTCTAAATAATAGCTTTGTTGAATAGAGTAATCTGGGATGTAGGTCCTCACCTTCCATGACTTTGAATACTCCTTTCCAGCCCCTTCTTGCCTGTAAGGCTTCTTTTGAAAAATCAGCTGATGGTCTTATGGGAACTCCTTTGTAGGTAACTGTCTCCTTTTCTCTTGTTGCTTTTAAGATTCTCTCCTTTAATCTTGGATAATGTAATTATGATGTGCCTTGGTGTGTGCTTCCTTGGGTCCAACTTCTTTGGCACTCTTTGAGCTTCTTGGACTTCCTGAAAGTCTATTTCCTTTGCCAGATTGGGGAAGTTCTCCATTATTTTTTCACGTAAGTTTTCAATTTCTTGCTCTTCCTCTTCTCCTCCGGCACTGCTATGGTTCAGATGTTGGATCGTTTCAAGTTTTCCCAGAGGTTCCTAAGCCTCTCCTCATTTTTTTTTAATTCTTGTTTCTTCATTCTGTTCTGGTTGAATGTTTATCTCTTCCTTCTGCTCCCAATTGTTGATCTGAGTCCTGGTTTCCTTCCCTGTGTTGTTGGTTCCCTGTATATTTTTCTTTATCTCACTTTGCATAGCCTTCATTTTTTTCCTCTATTTTGCAATCATATTCAACCAATTCAGTGAGCACCCAGATTACCAGTGTTTTGGACTGTGCGTCGGATAGGTTGGCTGTCTGTTCATCGCTTAGTTCTGTTTTTGGAGCTTTGATCTGTTCTTTCATTTGGGCCATATTTCTTTGTCTCAGTGTGCCTTGGAAATCATTGAAAGGGACAGAGCCTTAGGTATTCGCCAGAATGGGGAAACTCGGGTTGCTGAGTTGTGACACTGTGTGTGGGGGAGGGGCCCGAGAAGGAATAATGCCGCTTGCTTTGCTCTTGGCTAGCTTTCAGTCACTTCTGCAACTACCCACAAGCAAACTGGGCCCTTCTGGTGCTGATTCCAGGTGGGTGAATTTGTGTATGTGGGTCTCGCCGGCAGACTCTCCTGTGAGGCTTGGAGTTTCTCCTGCCGCTGCAATCCCCACAGGTTTTTACCTCCAGAGGTTTTGAGGCTTTCTTTTCTCGCACTGGAACCCTGGGTTGCACAGTGTGTGTTGCTCCCCAGCTGTTCCTCCCAATTTGTCCCCACGCAAATGTGGGACCATCCGGTCTGCCAGCTGCTGCCTTGCACTCTTCCCCCTGTCCTCCAGCTGCTGCCTTGCCATGCATCCTCCCTGCCCTGGCTGCCTATCTCTGCCCCTCCTACTGGTCTGGATGAATGTTTCTTCTTTAGCTCCTTGGTTGTCTGATTTCCGTACAATTCAATTTTCTGGCAGTTCTGATTATTTTTTGTTTTTTAATTTGTTGTCCTTTTGGTTGTGTGAGGAGGCAAAATGTATCTACCTATGCCTCCATCTTGGCCAGAAGTCTGTTTTATTTATTTTTAGAGAAGGGAAGGGAGGGAGAAAGAGAAGGAGACAAACATCAATGTGTGGTTGCATCTCAGGCACCTGCAACCCAAGCATATGCCCTACACTGGGAATTGAATCAGTGACCCTTTAGTTCACAGGTCGGCACTCAATCAACTGACCCACACCAGCTAGAGCTAGGACAAATTTTTTAGTTGCTGTTTATTTAAGAAACCATAAAAACACTATTAAAGTCTTCTCCTATTATTTAAGAAATGAAAAGTATGTATTTATATGGAAAAACCATATTCTCAAAAATAATTCAGTGAGATGATTAGTAGAGTAAATATAATTATAGTTACCAAGGTGAAGTTCAGTCTACAAGGTAATGCTACTGAAGAAAACCTCTGTTAGAATGCCATTTGACATTTTGAGATTGAGCTTGAAAAAGATGCTAGTCTTATATTTTTATAATGTATTAATCAGTAATTAATAATCAGATGTAAGAATTTTCTTCCCACCCAAAACATGAATTCAAAAGAATATATGCACCCCTGTGTTTATTGCAGCATTATTTACAATAGCCAAGATCTGAAAGCAACCCAACAGTCCATCAATAGACAAGTGAATAAAAAAGTTGTGGTACACATATACAATGGAATGTTACTGGGTCCTAAAAAAGAATGAAATTTTACAACTTGTAACAGCAAGGATGAACCTAGAGGGTATTATGCTAAGAGAAATAAGTCAGTCAGAGAGAGAGACAAATCAAAAGAACAAACAAAACTGAAACTGACTCATAGATACGGAGAACAGACTGATGGCTTCCAGAGGGGAGGGACATTGGGGAGATGGTTGAAAAAGGTGAAGGGATTGAGAAGTACAAATTGGTAGTTACAAAATAGTTACGAGAATGCAAAGTACAGCATAAGGAATATAGCCAACATTGTAATAACTGTGTATGGTGCCAGAAAATACAGGGGGAATACTTTGTAAAGTATATGATTTTCTAACTACTATGCAGTATACCTGAAACTAATATGAATTGATATTGAATGTAAGCTATAATTGAAAAGTAAAATTTAAAAATAAATAAGTCTATTTTTTAAAGAAGTTTCTTCCTTTTTCCAGAAAGAAGGGAGTCATTATAGATCTGCAATAATGGATTTGTTATGACATTTGAAGGCAAATTAAAGACTTTTTAAAAATAGTTAAACAATTTAAAATTTAGTTTCTTTTTTTTTATTTTTTCAAATACATTTGTCTCTGCCTACCCCCCACAACTTTCCCTTGCCCCCTCCCTTCTTCCCTCCCTCCTTCCCCTTTGGTTTTATCCATGAGTCCTTGCTATATGTTCCTTGACTTTCCCCTTCCCTTCCTTTCCTTTTCCCCGCCCCGCCTCCCTCCTTCCCTCTTGTCTCTGTTGGTTTCTTTTCCTTTCAGTGTTGCTTTCACTGCTTCTTTTCAACATCATATTGGAAGTCCTAGCCATAGCAGTCAGACAAGAAAAAGAAATAAAAGGCATCCAAATAGGAAAGGAGGAAGTAAAACTATCATTGTTTGCAGATAACATGATAGTGTACATAGAGAACCCTGTAGACTCTACCAAAAAACTCCTCAACCTAATAAGTGAATTTGGCAAAACAGCAGGATACAAAGTCAACATTCAGAAATCAAAGGCATTTTTGTACACCAGCAATGAAATAGAAGAAGAAGAAATCAGGAAAAAAAAATACCATTTGATATAGCAAGAAGAAAAATAAAGTACCTAGGAATAAATTTAACCAAAGAGGTAAAAGATCTGTACACAGAAAACTATACAACATTGAAGAAAGAAATTAAGGAAGACACAAATAAATGGAAGCGTATACCGTGCTCATGGATTGGAAGAATTCATATC